GCACCAATGTTTATTACGTGATGAAAAGATATCAATGCACATACAATTGACCGAAGATCATGATGTATTATCAGCAAATTTTTTGATTCTATTCTCAAAAGCAAAACGCTGTACTAGCCATTCAAACTGTTACACACCATTAATTGCATTCAGTTCTGTAAACTTTCGCAGTCAAATTTTGAATTTCTTTTAGGAAGAAATTTAGAATTTATGTCCTTATAGTTTCATTGGATGTCCAAAATTTGCAAGTTTTAGAATGATGATATAGGTTTGAAATGTATCAACAAATGAAGGCATTTCGGGAAGTAGACTAATTTGTAGTTGCAATATAATGGAGAGAGAATAAGCAAGTTAAAATCAAGACACCAAGATCTCGTTTCCCTTTCACTTTTTCTTTGTGTGGTCCATTTATTGCTTCTAAATGGAGATATTTAAAGTTCATATGAAATGAGGGGAATATTTAACACTTGCTACTATAGTGATGCTATTCTTCAGTTAATTTTGTTTCACTGGAATAAAATGAGACATTTAGTTCTTATGTTTTAGATTCCACATGCAGATTTTGCCTCTCTTCAGCCAGCATAAGATTATATACTTCAACAAAACAGATGCTCGACTGGCAAACAATGGAATTCCTCTTGAGCTTCAGAGACTCAGATGCCGCGTCAATTTCCAGGCACTAAAGTTCACACCTGAGATTGAAGCTCTGGGAAACAAGTTGATTCATATTATTCAAGAGAAGGGACCATATTTAGCATTGCATCTCCGATATGAAATGGACATGTTGGCTTTCTCAGGTTGTACTCATGGCTGCACTGAAAAGGAGGCCGAGGAGCTCAAACAGTTAAGGTAACTCTTGATGAAATGGATTCATTATTTGAATGGAATGAAACAAAATTACCTTTTCTTAGTTGGAATTACTGAATGTAATTAAAGATCTTAAATGGTACAACAAGTTATGATGAAGAAATAATCATAATGCTGTTTACGATGCGTGGATTGACAGTGATTAATTATTTTCAATTTTACATTGCTTTGCAATTACACCATTACTATATTTCCCCAGTTAAAAATTGTTTAGTTTTCTTCTATTTCCCACCTGCACACTTAAAACTTATCTTTTGACACTTCATTGTCAGAACAGATACGCATTTCCTTGGTGGAGGGAGAAAGAAATAGTATCCGAGGAAAGGAGATCTCATGGCTTATGTCCTCTTACCCCAGAGGAGACGGCTTTGATTCTACAAGCATTGGGTTTTGACAAGGAAAACCAGATCTATATTGCATCCGGTGAGATCTATGGAAGTGAACGGAGACTTGCATCGTTAAGAGCGGCCTTTCCTAGGATTGTGAGTGTTGCTGTTTCGTTACTTATTTTCTTTCGTAGGGTGCACTGGCTTGACGACACTAGACAATTCTGAGAAAGTAAAGAAATTTAAAAATCTTGTAGTAGGTGCCGATAGTATTCAATCAACCTTTTGGTTTCTCGTAATGCCTTTTATTTGTATGTTTGTAAATGACAAGACAATAGTTTTTCGTATGTTTATAAACAAGTCATTTATATGCTAATAGATGGCTTATAACTTATGGTTTCTTTAAATGATACAGTCATTGTGATTTTAGGTGAAAAAGGAGATGCTGCTAGATGCAAAAGATTTGCTGCTGTTTCAGAATCATTCATCTCAAATGGCAGCCCTCGATTTTATGGTTTCTGTTGCCAGTAATATTTTTGTTCCCACTTATGATGGTAACATGGCAAGGGTTGTGGAAGGTCATCGTAGGTACCATATATGAACTTTGCAATGTGGATGATTGATATTAATCGACTATCCAATATCTGTAAGACATTTATGTTTCCATCTTTTGCAGGTACCTTGGTTTCAAAAAGACCATCCAACTGGATCGCAAAAAGCTTGTAAAATTGTTGGATTTACATCAGAACGGGACACTCACCTGGGACGAGTTTTCAGCTGCAGTACAACTGGCCCATGAGAGAAGAATGGGACAGCCGAGTCGTCGTACAGTCATTCCAGACAAGCCGAAAGAAGGAGATTACTTTTATGCGAATCCTCAAGAATGCCTGTGTGAAAGCATTAGTTGTGATGACTTGAGTCCCGGTAAGGCTACTCCAGTCGAATGATACATTTCCGCAAAATCACGTTTTTGCTGCAACATCCAGTTTTGCTGATATATACGGTGAAAGTGAGATCAGCCGTCCTACTCCAAAAAGTTTGGACTTGTTATCATTGATACACACACTCGAAACTATTAGTAGAAACGACAAAATGTCGACTGCAGTTGCTGCTGAGGCTTATCAAGATTTGATAATCGTTTGTGATGAATTCTCAAGAAAGAGTGAATGAAAGATTAACAAAACTCAAAACGTCCCTTGAGGGCTTTCAAAACTGTCTTCATTCATTTTGTTAATATGTAATTTTCTTTTCTACTGCTGATTGAAGAATGACCCGTATGTCATTGTTATTTTACAGAAATTGCCTAACTAATTGTTTCAATGGAAAATGTTAGTATATGCTCATGGTCTTCAACAATGGCTATATTATCTCGAGTAATGCTACCAATGAGGCTAGATAGAATTATTTTAATAGTGCTAGGCCTCGGGGTCAACGGGGTCAAAGGTGTGGCGCGGCTCCTTCTAGGACTGTGACATGCACCGGCCAGCTCGGACCCTTAACTAGTCTTTTCTATGCATTTTGCAGTGGCCTAGGATTTAAATTATGATTTATATTAGTTACAAGGTAAGAATGAATTCAAATCTACATGTTACCCATTTTACTACTTTTAGTATACACTGTCAAAGAAATCTATAAATCTTGGGTTTTCTATCTCAAGGTATACTGCAAAGCCACCCGTCCTGTTCTCCCCCTGGGATTCAAGTCCCTTTTTTGCTGAATCTTCAATTCCTTCATTTCCTGTTAAGGAACCGACATTGTACAAAGGAGAACCACCATCTATAGAATTCTCGGATGATGAAATGCAGAAACTTTTAGTCCGTTTCTAACACACTTTGATTGGTAAATTTTTCGATAGAGAGCCTTCAATAGCAGAGGCGAGTAAGAATTTAAACGCGTTAGGGTTTAAAGGGGATTTTACAGTGGTCGTGTTGATTCCAAGAGTGATTTAAATGGACAATTGATTGGCCAATCGATTGAACAATTCTGAGGTTGTACGTGCTATAACTGTTGTATGGATTTCATTGCCCAAGTTGCCAATTATTTTTTTCGCCAAAGGGGCACTATATTCCATTGCCAGTGTCATTGGAACACCTTTGAAGCTGTGCGAAGCAACAACAAATAGATCCATAGTAGATAGAGCGAGGGTGTGCGTGGAGTTGGAACTTAGAAATCCAAGAATACCCAGAATTTATATAAATTGGGAAAAGTCATTTTGGCAACAAGTTGTATATGAAGATATCCCGAGCTATTGCACTCACTCTTTGCACAAGGGGTGTAGCGACCAAGAATTTTAGATTTTATAAAATTATTTTTCTCGAAAAACGTGTCGCTAAATTTTAAACCCTAACATTAAAGTGAAAATGCATTCGTCTAGCCATTATAAACGAATTTAAATTTTTCGAATCGAATTCATTTTCAAATAATTATAAGTACCATAATTTTATTTTTAGAATCCAACTTATTTAACCCATTTCAATTAAGTCCAATTTTAATAATCCAATCCACCTAAACCCAGTTGGAAAACCCTACAGCCCAAATGCTAGGCCCAACTATTTGGCCCAATTGTTACTTAGGGAATTGTGCCCTAGAATTCACTATTTTATTTACCATCATTTCATTTCCCTCCTCCACAATTCACGCTGCCAAGAAATCTGGGTAAGGAAACTCCATTTTTCTTCAATTCAATCACTGGAAAATCCTGTTGATGCTAGAACCTAAATTTCTAGAACCAACAAGATAATGTTTCCAATCAGCTGCATCCCCAACAGCCAAGCTCACCATCACCAAACCGAAAATCCACCTCAAACCGCCACCAAAAACCAACCCCAAATCATGAAATAAAGCCCTAGATCAATAACCCAAAGACTTACCTTATTGCTCGACCTTTTTATTGNACAGCCAAAACCCTCGCACCTGCAACCCTCTCGACAGCCACGCACACGCCTAAAAAAAAAAATCAGCACATAATCAACCACAAAACCAAGAAAACACGAAACCCATAGGCTTACCTTACTTTGCCACCCATTTGCAGCTCGAACACCACCAGAAAAACCTAAGAATCCGAGTCAAGAAACCCAAAAGCTCGAGTCCTTAACACCTCGGTTTAGCCCTTCAATCCGCGCCAAACTTACCTAAACCGGCGCCGCCGCCGCCACCACCACCACCACCACAAGTGGTGGCGCTGCCACCAACCGCCGTCGGCGGTGGTGGTGGAATCGGGGGAAGGGGGTTTCCCTTCCCTCCTGTCGCTCTCTCTCTCTCTGGAAAACGAGAGAAAGATAGATGAAATGTTTTAATTTTAAATTTTTGGAAATTGCATCCTAGCCCTAAGTTTTTTTTAAATTGTTGATTTCAATCCTAAAGTTTATATCATTTATAAATCAGCCCCTACATTTTAAATATTTTAATTTCAGTTCTTTAATTTTATTTTCAGTTTTAGAAAATGTTCAATTTAGTCCCTAATTCTTAAAATCTTTTTACCGTTATAAATGTGAAGTTTGAAATTTAGTTATTTTTCGCAAATCTTGTTATTTAAATTGATTACAAAAGAATATGACGTGACAATCCGGGTTCACGGAACTCGAGGTGTTACAAGGGGCACACCATAGACGAGCATTACGTGTTTAGGAAAATGTCGAACAGAATGTTGTCTGTCGTTTTCATTAGTAATGAGAAGGTTGATCAAGAATTTCTGGTTAAAAATCCAATGGAATAGAAGTAAATCCTGATTATTAATGAAAATAATAAAGAAGAATTCTCCAATGTCTGTTTGAAAGAGAGATGAGAACCAAAAAGAAAATTTGAAGGATGTTATGCTGGAAGAAGCTGGTCTATTTATTTATGGTGATCGGCTTGGGAATTTGGATGTTGGCAGACTTGATAGCTTGTTTCTTGCATATAAGCAACATAGAGAGCATAAGGTACTCAGCAGGAAAACCCTGTTACGGGATTGTCAAATTGAATACGGTTGGCTGTTCAAAAGGGACTCATGAATGCTCAGGAGGGGGAATCTTGAGGGATCATGAAGGAAAAGAAATATTCGCATTTCATGAATACTACGGTTCTGGTAATATTGTAGTTGCTGAACTGAAGGCATTACTGGGAGGATTAAAAATCTGTCTTGAATGTGGTTATCAGAAAATCTGGGCAGAATTAGATTCGAAAGTTGTTATTGATCTCGTTTCTGATCCGGATACAGGTAATGGAAGTTTCAAGAAATATGTAGGATAAGTTCCAGAATGGATGTTTGTTCTTCTCACATCTACCGAGAAGGTAATAACGCAGCAGATTGCATGGCTTTCGAGGGTTATTGCTCTAAAAGTACAAGGACCTTTGAGCATAATAAACTACCTAACATTGTCAAGAGCGTTGCAAGGAAAGAAAGGTACGGAGCATTGACATTTGGATAACAAAACAAGGAGTTCCTTTTGTTTACAGCATGTGCAATGGAGATAGTATCAACAAGAATAAGTGTTATGCTATTTAACAAGAATGATGCTATTTACTTTCAAGAATAAATCTAAGCGTACAACATTGGTTGATAATCATGTGTTGTCAAAATCCTAGCATGTGATGTAGAAAACAGTTTTTTAAAATGGATGGATATGATGATGTCAAATAGAATGTTGTCAACCCATGTTATATATGTAGCATGATTCTACTTTCATAGTATTATCATTACTGAAGTCTATGTTTGAATATAGGGATGGCAATGGGACGGGGCAACCTCCCCCGCCCCGCCAAGCTAAGCCAAACCAAGAAATTCCCCTCCCCGTTAGTCGTTTAAGGAGGGACGGGGCGGGGTCTTTGCCCCATTTACTATCCCGTTTAAATTTATTTATTTATTTATTTTAGTTTTTATAATTTATTTTTATTGCCCATATTCCCGTTTACTACCCGTTTATTTTTTTTTTTTGATAATTTATTTTTATTGCCCATATTCATTAGATTTACACAAATAATTTTAGTTACTATTTTCTATTAGAACTAATGAAATTTCGTGAAAATTTTCATTTAAAGTATTGAATTCTAAAAAAAAAATTTAAACGGGGTAGGGGAGGGGGTGGGATGGGATGGGGTGGGCGCCAGTTACCCGTCCCCGCTCCGGGGCAAAATTTCCCGCCCCGTCCTAACCCCGAATACCGGATTAAGCGGGTTATCCTCGCCGCGTTCGGGGTGGGGCCAGCTGGTATCGGGTTTGTCGAGTTTTTTTGCCATCCCTATTTGAATATGGTAACGGTGTGAACTGATGAATTTTATGTTGAGAATTATCATGAATGCTCTTTTAGTAACTTTAACAAAAATCAGTCCTTTTGGCTTATAATTTGACATAGCATTGGACTCTTCATCAATTTTTCTTGCTTATTATACCTGTTGCAAGTGATGGAATGAATCACTAATCAACTGATTAAAGACTCGAATCATAGAGCTTCACCATTACAATAATTGGTCTACGTTGGCAAATAAACAATTAGAGTATTCAAACTAATCACTTCATGTTAGTTTCTTGATTCTTGGACGTTACAAATGAGGCTCAAATGAGGGCTTAATACTCTACCTAATATATCGTAAGAGCACAAGGCCGGTCGAAAGGAAAGACAGAAAATAATAATAACATTGTTGGCAATTTTATTTCATCTTTGTTCTCTGCTACCAATCTCAGGTTTCCTTGACTGATTTTGTACAACTTGACAGTGAAATTGAATGGTAGTTATGATTGTTTTTCTTAGCTAATTCTGTCAAAACTTTGGATTTTCGAGGTATATATATATAATGACTAACTCAACACAGTGAATGAAATCTAAGTTCAAGGAAATACTACAAATCATATTGCATGAGGACGATCTAAGTGAATAAGTTTGTAGAATAAATTTGATTGGAGAAATTTCAAAAAGTTTTGTTTGAACTTCTTTAATTTATATTTTACACAACCATATTACTGTTTGGGTCAAGAAGGTTTGTATCTAGGTTGAGATTTAGCATGAATCTCTACTCGTTGATTAACAAAAACCAAGAGTAGAAAAGTGAGATGCACAAAAACAGACTTCCAGAATAACAAAAGATAGAGAATGAAGAAAACAAGATATCTCTATTACATGAGCATTGGCAAGCCAACAGAAGAATTCATAGATCACAGTGAATCTTTTACCCATAATTTCCGGACATATGGAGTATTAAGGCTTTCTAACCTTAAAATCTCTTTGAGGTCGTCTGGAAGTTCATTTTCCTCCATGATTCTCCTTTCTTTAGTACGAAAATCCTCGTTAGCCAAGAAATCCGTTGCACTATTAGCTTGCCTGCAGATGTGTGTGTAATGAACATTCAGATAGGAACTTACACTCCGAATTTCATCCACCAGGTATTGCACTTTCCTAGTACGACCGGAGCGTGAATTCGTAGCTGGATCAGAGATGAGTTTAACAGCAAGTAGCGTATCCAATTCTACCCAAATATTCTTATAACCACGTTTAAGACAGATTTTTAATCCTGCCAATAATGCCTTCAATTCAGCAGCTAATGCAGAACAACAACAAGTACCATAGTATTCGTGAAATGCAAATAGCACCTCCCCTTCATGATCCCTCAGGATTCCCCCACCAGCAGAATCACCGCTAGGAATCTCCAAGCACTTTAAACAGCCATCGGTATTCAATTTGACAAACCCATCACAGGGTTTTTCCCATATAACTAAGGCAGTCTCCCTCTTTCCCTCTCTCATTCACTTTCTCTCTCGCCTTCTCTTTGTTCTATTGGTTCGTGTACTGGCAGGAGAGAAGCTACGTCGACTGTCCATTTCCAAATCCCTCGACTGATCATCATTACTGAATGAATCAGCTTGTGAGACGTCATATTTCTCCTCCACAAAGCTAGAAGATGATTCCCCTTTCTCCTTTTCTCGGCTGGCATTTTCATTTTTATTGCACTCCTTATCGCTAATAGCAGTGGCAAATATTATTCTTTTAATCATTTTATCAATCAGGTAACATTCGTGCACAGTATGTCCCAAATGAATATTCCTCAGTACCTATACAGATTCGGTGCAAACAGAGACTGCAATAGGTCGGGATATTTTCATACACAACTTCTTGCCAAAATGAACATTCCTCAGTACCTATACGGATTCGGTGTATTCTTGGTAGCCCCAAATCCAACTCAACACAAACTTTGGCATTGCTTACAATGGATTGATGTGTAGTAGCTTCATCCATCATCAAAGGTGTTCCAATTTCACTCACAATGGAAAAGTGTACAGATTTTTCAAAAGAATTCATCAGCAAATTGGGCAATGAAATCCATACTGGAACTATAGCACATTCAACACTAGGATTGAAATTGATTGTCCATTTAAAAACTTTCATAGGATAACCACAAACACACCAGATAGGATTTAGGAAGAGTCTTATATAATCCTCTTCTAGGGCGAAAATTATCAAATCGTGTTTGGAATCAATAAGATCTACTGTAAAAGCACCTTTGAACCCTAAAAGATCGAAAGTGGTTCTCAACTGTGCTAATAATGGCTTTCCATTAGAAAATCTACCAATCAAAATATATTTGGAAGAGGCTGAAAGTTTTTGAATTTCATTATCTGATAACGATATACATGGTTCTTCTTTCTACATTGTAAGTTCGTTGTGAGGAATGGAAGAAATTGAAGATTCTGCAAGAAAAGAGGCAAAAGATTTACTCGAAGAATAGGGAGATGGTGGCTCCGGTGTATCTGCAAGTTGGCGTACATGGATTTCTCCATTTTCATCGAAGGGAGAGGCGGCTGTTGCGGCCATTTCTTTTCACCATAAAATAAAAATTTATGAATATCGGGCTAACGCAAACTCATTGTTGGTTTGACTTATCCAAATAGTCAAATCGATCAATCCAACCCAAATCAATTGGTTAGGATTAATTTTTTAGTTCAATTGGGTTGAAGGCAGGTTAGAAAATCAAATTTTAGCTCGAGTTGAGTTGGATTCCAGATTATCTGTTGAATCCCAATCAAACCCAACTCAACCCAACCCAATAAATTAAAAAATATTAAAAAAAAATTAGTACTTAAAACAAAAAATCTAATGATTAAAATTCTCCTCTGCCTCACGTCTCTTCTGCCTCTCATTGCTGCTCGTGCCTATGCTTCTCGACTCGATTTTTTGACGTGATTTTTGATTAAACACTTGCATTGAGGGATAAAATTTTATATTGAATTTGGATGATTTAACATTTTTAGAATTTATGTTGAATTCATTTTATTCAAAATGTATAATATGCAGGTATTCAACATGTATTTAGATTGATTTAATATGTATTTAATTTGATCATGATATAATCTATTTAACATGTTTTACAATATTTTTAATTTATATTGTTCTATTGAAGTGGAACTTAACCCCACAGACCATTAATTTAACTCCAATCGACTTAAGCCTTTTAAATCACTATTTTTAATGTAATTGAAATTGATCCAAATTAAAATGATGTCAAACTTTAAAAAAATTGTTCAAATTCAACGAAAAATATCTCAATCAATGGGCCATTAAAAAAATTGTTCAACTTGAATTGGATTCAAATCTAATCCAATCAACCCAACCCAAACCAACTTGAGTTTGGTCGGTTTGGATTGTGTTGAGTTTCAACCATGAATGGGTTGGTTCAGTTTGAATTATTGTCAAACCGAACATGTTGAGTTGAGTTTAGGTTGGACTCAAAACTAATCTAACCCAACCCACGCCCAGCCCTAATTGAGTGATTAGCGTAACGTCCCTACATTCTTCCAATATAATGTGATTCAAACACACCCTTAATGTGCACAATATCCCTACATTTCAAACTTTTACATTTTCATCTCTATTTCCACGTTTATTGTGAAAAATGTCATTTTCATCAAATTTCTCAATCAAAAATTATAAAATGACGAATATATCATCATATTTAAATAAAACAAAACGAAAAGAAAAAAAGAATAAATTGCAATTATACTTCCAAATTTTTTTCAAAACGGTGCAATTATGTCCCAAATAATTAAATTTAAAAATCAAAGAAGAAAAAAAAAATCAATTTCATCTTCCACCTTTCCCACCCACCTCAGGAAAGCCACCTGTCACCAAACCCACAGCCACCACCACCACTTTCTTCCCCAAAATCCCTCCCATTTTACTTCAACAAACAAGAAAAAGGCGCTCACAGTCTATCTGAAAATGAAATTGGAAATTCCAGTTTTCATAGTGTTTCTTTTCCTCGGCTTTTTTTGATGGTTTAAGGGTGTCGGTCGTCATCTTTGAAGTATTTAATAAACACTACCACTAAAGATTGGAACTTTCGAGTAAATTTACAGCGGATCAAAGTCTTAGAAGCCTTGAACAAAGAGATCTGAAGAGAAAGCTTAAAGAATTAGCTTCTAAAACTTGGATTTAATAAAATTTTCAAAGTTGCACCAAAAAATTGTCTTTTTACCTGAAAACTATAATAATTATTTGGTTCAAGATTGTTTATGAAGTTTCCAGAAATCGTAGTGGATTGACAAAAAACGGTGTTCTCAATGTCGAAACAAAGAACAAAAAAGCAAAGAAAATCCTTAACTAGTCAGAATCGTAAAACCAAATTTAGAAAAGCCCTCAATTTTTCTGGGATCTTATTTGAACTCACAGTAATTATGGTGGAATTAGAGAATTCCACAAGAAATCCAAGACCCAGAACTAAAATTATCGGAAATCGTGCTTATATTCGAGAAATCAAAAGCCAACAGTCAAATTGATCATTAATCAAGCCCTTCGACTATGATGTTATATAGAGGATATAATCTAGGGGAATCCAAATCCTAAGACCGAGTAAACAAGTATAAAATGTAGCAATAAAGTTGAAGTAGAGTAAAGCAATCTTCACATGTTCAATGAGAAATGGTGGCGGAGGTGTGGCTATGATTTTGCAAAAATTGATATGGATTTTGCACAGATTACACATTTATAAATTGTGACTGATATTCCTTGTATTATTGAGAATATAATTGTTCTTTAACACTTTGAAAAATGGCATTTATGTTTCATTTCCAGAGAAAGACTTTGCGTGTGTTTTTCCTATTTGTTGAAGTAAAATAGGAGGAGTTTTGGGGAAGAAAATGGTGGCAGAGGCGGTGGTGGCGGCTGTGGGTTTGGTGGCGGGTGGCTTTCCTGAGGGTGGGAGAGGAGGGAAGAAGAAGATGATTTTTTTTTTAAATTTAATTATTTGAGACATATTTGTGCTGTTTTGAAAAATTTGGGAGTATAATTGCAATTCATTCTTTATTTTTATTTTTTTTGTTTCATTTTATTTAAACAGGGGGTATATTTTTTATTTTATAATTTTTAATTGAGAATTAGATAAAAATAATGTTTTGTAAAATAAAATATGGAAATAGGAGTCAAAATGCAAAAAAATTAAAATGTATGGATGTTTTGCACAGACTTTTCGTGTTAATAAGCTTTTTTAGTTTCATGTCCAACTTATGATCATAAAATCTTGGCCACATTTTAGCAGTGGTCCAGTCCATAAAGCCCATTATCAAACAATTCCCTTTTATTTGGGAAAATTATGGTTTGTAGTTGTTTTAGTATTATAAGAGCATTTTCAATAAACTCTCTATTTTTAAAAAGTATATTCTATCATTTGGAGAGTATCTATAAATTTAAAGAGTTAAAATTTTGAAGTATTCCAACAAACTCTTTATATTTAATACTTAATTTTACTACTCCCAAAAAATATTTATTATTTTTGACTTGTTGAGTACACTCAAGATTGATATATTATGGATATGTTTGACACTATGAAATATTAGATATTTTTGAATGATAAGTTTGACTTAACTAAAATGTATCTTTTATTGAATACATCAAGGATATAAAATTTAACAGCATGTTAAGCTAACACATAAGATGTGTGAAGATAAAGAGTTGTCAGTTTAATGATCTGAGAGTTGTATGAAAATATAATTGATAATAGTATCTACCCAAATGTTTTAATAGAGCTTGTTGAGTACACTCAAGGTTTTAATATAACAAATGGGATCCTAGCCCACTGGGAATCAAGTACGGATTCCATAAATNTAAGTATAGATTCCATAAATTTATGTAAGAGGGTCATAAATTTGAGTTAAACAGTGAGAGTATAATTAATTTAATAAAATACTACGTTAAATTAATTGATGCATTCTATATATTACTCTTTTACTTTTCGTCATTTACATTTATTGAATCATGAGTAACCATATGTGTTTGATAAGCATACTGGATGCCAACAATTAGACCAAATTTTCTTGATTGGCACCACAATCTGAGAATTGTTCTCAAGCATGAGAAAAATTGATTATGTCATTGAGTGACCCTTTCCAGATACACATGTTGATTACTCGACAAATGAAGATGTGACTGTTATAATAAATACAGTGATGAGATAATACTGTAATATGTGTGATGCTTGCGACTATGTCACCCGAGTTACAAAAAGCAACATGAGAGTATATATGCTAACACATATTTTTCATTTCAAGGTGTTAAATGACGAACAATCACGTGTGGAAAGATATGAGATTTTTTAACAACTATATTAGTGCATAATGGTAGATCTTCAGTCACTGTTCGTGTACTAAAGATGTTGATTACATTGAGAAGCTATCTCAATTGAGTTCAGTTATGAACCATGAACTAATTATAGACTTGGTTCTGCAATTTCTACTAGAATGTTATTCATAGTTAA